TGTTGGCGGCCGTCGACGGCGCAGTCAGGATGTGGCCGTGGCTGTGAAACTGGTGCGACGGCGACTCGGCGCCCTTGACGTCCGCGGTGGGTGCTTCGGCGTCATTGTTGACGCACGCTGGGGCGGCAAACCGCGCCGTGAGCTCGGTCTGAAGGCACTGCAGCAAGAGGATGGCTACGACCGCAATGACGTTGGCCAAGCCCGGGTACGAGAGACCGAGGCACGCGTTGTTGAGTGCGTCGTTGGCCGGCGGAAGCATGTGCACGAGCGCGGTCGCAATGACAACGCCGACGCCAAACGCATTGACATACGACATGATGGCGGCCATTTGCTTCAAACACGCGAGGTGCTTGGAGAGCACGGGCAGGAGCGACCCCACGAGCGAGAAGGCGAGGATGATAAAGATGGCACCGATATGCAGCGCCATGTCATAGTTGTCGTCACGACCTTGGACAAAGCCGCAGGGATTGGCGTCGTCGTCGCTGGCCTGGAACATGCGGGAAGTTCGCAAATGGAAAAGTGACGTTCGAGGGACGGTTCCTGCGAAGCTCGCTGGCAAAGAGACACGAGGAAAGTAGGACCAACTGGCCGATCCGACGGCGGCAGCAGCCCGTACGAGACAGGCGAGGACCACCAATCGGAGACGAGCATACAAATGACAAGGTAACCATGTGAAGAGTGGAGCGCTGCGGAAAGGCAAAGTGCATCGATGGCTCGCATCGTGAGTCACGCGTCAACGACGACGCCTTTGCCTCGAGGCTTTCTCAAGGAACTCGTTCATCGAAGTGTTGTCCCCATCGCTCAAACGAAGAAAGAGGCGGTCTATCCGACGGCGGCCGCCCTGATTCGATTACGGCACTGCAGCGCACGGCCGGCGGACTTGACACGCTCGCGAGCGTTCTATGGTTGGTAAGTCAACGCAATACTGTACTAGTAGGCGCAATGGGCCGGACTTGGCATCAAACATGTCTACAGCACATCATGAGCACACCCCATGGACTGAACGATCGACAAGCGCAATGTGATGATACAGGGCGACGACATCGAACGCAAGCTCCAACAAAAGATCACGAGTTACGCGCCGATCCTTGGTGTGCTCGCTACCTCATTCCCAACTCAATCCCGAGCCCTGACCATGCGCCCTCAGCTTGACGTACTGGCCAAACCTCACGAGCGCTCTAGGAAGTCCACCATCTTCACTATATAATTGCATGTTAATAACTCATTTCAACAAAAGATCACGAGCCCCAACGATGGCATGGGATACTTCTTGTCAGCAACAACGAAGTCTCAACATCGGAGGTGGAAGGCGAGAGGCTGGAAGTGACTCCGACGGCGGTTCAAGGATGGCGCTTGCACGACTACTGAAATCCCGCGATGCGTGCAGCTGCAGCGTTTTGGTCAGTCGCAGGTAGGACCAAGGGCAACACCGACGCAGGTTGAACCCCAGCGGTCGGGTTGCTGTCCTGTCCGGCCGTGTCTTGGCGCGTCGACGTGCTGGAAATTGCCACTCCATTCGGATTTGTAGTTCCATGTATTCTCGTGTCGATTGGCCTCTTGGAGTCGAGGTTGGCAGCCAGCGTAACTACAGCCTCTGCACCGCACGGAATAGCTAGTACAGCGGGGGCTATCACGGTGGCTAGCTCATCGTTAGCCGCTGCATGGGATACACAGTGTTGCGGTTGATTCGAAAGGCCGGTCGGAGCACACCAAGCTCTCTGGCAGTGCCACCACGCGACACAACGCTAGTGTTCTCTCGGACGCAGCGATACAGAAATTCCTTTGGCGCTGGATCGACGAGATGACTTTTCCGTCTGTGTGCTGCTGCTATCGAGAGCCATCACGTGGTAAGGTGGTTCTTGACTGATGCAGTTGACAACGCCTTGCCGACGAACGCTGTCTGAAACAGTGTTTCACACTCTGTTTGGGACCTCGGAGACAGGCGGCGAAAACGGTCGCCGAGGAGTTTCGACGACGGCGATGGAAGGGCTCGAGTACGACGCCAACGACGTCGAGGAGCTCCTGTCGCTCTCCGACTCGGAGGACATTGAGGCCGACGATCGGCGCGTTCTCTTCCCGCCTCTGGTTTTGGACCTCGAACCGCGCGCCAAAAAAGTTGACCGGCTCAAGAAGCTTGGCGTCCTGCACAGCCCGTTTGGCGACTGGCCGCGCAACAACGTCCGGTCGCCGCCCTCGGTGCGAGCTCTAAAATGAGCTCGTTCCTACTTAAGTCGAATATAGGTCGAGTGCAAGCTCGAGTCGCCCCAGAGCCCGTACGTCAAGGCGTCGCCGGCAAAACTTCTCAAGAAGAAGCGACACCCGACCAAGCTGCCACCACCGATCGAGATGGAGACATCGCCGACCAAATTCAAGTTCCAGACCAACGACATTATCAAGCACGGTCCTCCTTGGACCATCGTTTGTCTGAGCTCACCATGCTCATTAGGGGACCTCAAGGTCTACATGTGCCGGTATACGACGATCCAGCCTCTTTTCTGCGTCCCGTTTCACGAACACTCGTCCTTAACCTCGAGTCGGAAGCTCATCGACGACCTCCTCATGGTGGACATGGTCGACTATTGCTTTGTCGCTCCGAATGGCAACTCGAATCTGTTGAGAAATCATTTGATTGACATGTTTATATATTTTAGGCAAAGCCATTGCCAAGAGTGCTGAAGGGCGCTTCAGCGCCTACTGGTTCCACCCCGTCTTGACGATCCTCGTGCTCTCGATTCAAAATACGCCGCATTTGTGTCAGAGCCCAGACGCGCTCCGCGACGCACTCTCGCAGCTCGGTCCGGGCAGCCAACCACCGACAAAAGAAAAGCCATGGAACTTGTCGTACGCGAGCTTTGGCAACTTTAGCTCCCAGAGCCTGCGGATGCAAACTGCTATCATCAAGGTGATTTGCAAGTTCGCGCGTCGTGGCGTCACAACAGCATTCGATCTAGTCTCCCATGAGCTCCAAAATCCGGAAACGCCACGCCCGCGACGTGCTTCGACTCGCGCTCGAGACGCCCGCACCCGTTGACGACACTGTGTTTGAGACGACACCGAACGCGGCGTTGGACCCGGGCACTGTGCAAACGATCCTTGAACGCAGTCGCTACGACGTTCTCGACCGGTTTTCGGACCTCGAGTTTCAGGTGCGCGCACTCACACGTCGTATGTATCTGGAGTTTTGCCCCTAGAAACGCCGCAAGCGTCATCTGCGGCTCCAGCAAAAGACGCTGGTGCACGCACTTGAGATGCACGAGCGTGTCGTTCAACTGCAGTGCTGGGTGCGCACGGTATGGAGTGTGCGCAAGGTCGAGGTGCTGCGAGAGGCGCGGCGTCGAGCGCTCCAAGCGCAGTTACCGCCCCCCAATTCGGGCGACGGCCGCCCCCGGCGCTATAGTATCAGGTACATTTCGTCATTTTCCATCTTGATACTTTTGGTTGATACATGCCTTGGACAGTTTGAGCCAAAAACCGCTTGTCGTCTCGAATGTGCACTTTGTACCCCATTGTACACCTTGTCACTGTCATCTTGCCAACTTGAGAGTCAAATGTCTCTAGTTGGCGCCCACGAAGAACAAGGCATCGTCAAATTACAAGCGCTGCAACGCCGGCGCATTGCACAAAAGAGCTTTCGCCAAGCCCACGCGATCAAGTTTGTTCGAATTTGAGACGACACATTGAATGACAATATTGGACGTAGAACAAAAGAGCTCGAGCAGCGCCACGAAATGCTCCAGAAAACCCAAGACGACTACGAACGCGAGGCAGCGCTTACCAACATCAAACGGCTCCAAAAAGTCGAGCAAAAACAACGCAAGGAGCTCCTCAAGCAGCACGACGAGCAGCGACGGCAGGCGGCGATTCTCGCGATCCAGCGCTTCATTCGCCGCTTCTTGGCCGTCCGCACCGTCAAGCGCCTGCGGATGGAGCGCAAGGCTGCGATCAAAATCCAGTCCCATCTGCGCAAAAACACCGCTCTCACCACGGTACTTCGACCCACTTGAACGAATACGGTGGTATTCATCGTGCTGAAGCTCGAGAACCTCAAGCTCCAGTCGCGCAAGTCGAGTCTCAACGTGTCCGGGTCGTCCGCCAACAACAACGACAGCTACCACCCACGCCTCTTTTGCCGGCGCGTGCACTTTCACGAGACGACCAATGCTGTTGTCCTCGTGTACGTAGCTCCTCATCGAGTCTTCAATCTGCAATCTTAAGTACTAGCCATTTACTTACGTGTTGTTGTAGGTTGCTCACCAAGACTCAGATCTCACTGGTGCTCTACGAACCGTCCTCGGCAAGCCACCCGACGGCCGTCGAGTGCACCCTCGAGACAGACGAGCTCAAGACTCTCGGGCTCCTTACGCGGTCGTACTTTATCACCGTCGGCGACATTGACCGGCTCATCGAAGGTTTTTCCCGATGCAAACACAGAAAAGACACAGCTTGTCTGTAGGACTGGTCATGCATCTCATTGTCCAGCGTGGCCGTGTGCTGCCCAACCCGCGCGAAGTTCACCCATTTCGGAACCTCAACATTGACGCGCGGTCGCTCGTTCTGGGGACACCGAATGTGTACTTTGGGCAGCTCTACCAAAAGGTACCCGCTTCGAAACGCGCAACACACCACCTTTTTTTGTCTAGTGTAGCGATTGCAACAGCGCCGAGGACCTCCTTCGACCCTTGCGGTATGCCAAGCCCACGCTGCACTACTACGTGGCGAAGCGCGTCAAGCTCGGAATGGCGCACTTTGCGTTCTTTGAAGACCAGGGCGTCTTGTATGTCGAATGCTACGTCTCGCGCTGGCACCTCTGTCTCTGCATTGGGCTGCAGTACAGCGAGTGGAGCTTTAGTAACCTCCCAGTGCTCGCGCTCTGCACGGCAGCGCAGAAAGTCGCGATTGCCAAACACATGGTACAGTTCCACATGTGAATAGCAAAACATCTGGAAGTGATACCACATGTGGTAGGTCAACCACATTACCTTGGGCCACACGAACGCTGTGCGCATTGACGTGCGCCAGCGCATGTTTCGGCAAGCCAAGCGACTCCGGTGCGAGACGTCGGGCATCATCACACATGTTGTTGGCCTCTTTGCCATGCACCGCCTCGGGATGGCGCTGCAGCTGGAAGTCGTCTTCGCCTCTGGCGACGTCCTCCAGAGCAGCGTCGGCCACGACATTTTGGACCAGATTGGCTACAAAACGCTCTTTGATATGGACGTCGAGACGGTCCAGATCTTGAGCCGCCAAATGCTCAGCTACCTCCGCGTCATTGAGCACGAGTTGGTGCTGCAGATCGAGTGACTGTATACAGCGCTAGCGCGGTCGCGTTCGACGAAGCATCTGCCAACGTGTAATATATATACTAGTCTCCTGTATGCCCCAATCTGCCCCGCAACCACAATGCGGATGCATTTCATATATTCAAACGTCACGGAAAATGCGCAAAATTCGTGACGTTGCGGGATTCGAACCCGCAACCGCACGCCGACAGAACCTGTCCACGAGTGTCGTGGCGAATTAGTGGGCGACGCAGCGCGTGCACTGCGTGCCGGCGCGGGACATGGTCACGCCTTCCCAGCCGTCCAAGAGGCGGCGCGGGCAGGTCGCACACTTGCCTGTGATCATGCTGCCCTTGGGGATCGACGACCCGAGCATCGGCGTCGAGTTGAAGCCGTTGGTGCTGTACCAGCTGCGGCCGCCGCCGCCGCCACGTTCGTCGTCCGGGCACTCGCGCTGCTTCGCGCAGTCGACGTGCGGGCACGTGCGCCAGTCGTTGTGCCTGTGGCCTTCGTTGGCGTGCGAGCCACACGTCGTGTACCTACGGCAGTCGCATTGATGATCGTTGGTGGTCATATCGGGACGCGTACCGGTTGTGGGACCGCATGCAGTGGGTGCGGCTGTAGCTCATCATCTGGTACTCGTGCTCGTTGTCACAGACCGTGAGCCCGCAGCACTGGGTGACGCCCAAGTTGACTTCATTCTCGCCGGCCCCGCAGATGAAGCACGTCTCGAGGTCCGTCGTCTCGACGGGGAAGCACCCAATCGGGTACTTGGTTAGCTCGTCGGCCTCGTTGTACGGGATGCCCGAGAGGCCCAGAGACGCAATGTGCTTGCAGTCGATCTTGTGGCGTGGCCAGTCTTGGAGCTGGTGGTCGCGGCCGCAGTAGAACACGCACCGGCACTTGGCGCAGTGCTTGACATCGAGACGGTCGCAGCCGACGACTTCGCAGCGCCGAGGCACAAACATCTGCGACTGGCGCAGCTCGAGACGCGCTTCGGAGGCGGGCGTCCGCCGCGTGGGCTTGAGCGGGGCGTAGTCGTCGTCGTAGTCGTCGTCGTAGTCGTCCTCGTCGTCGTCCTCGTCGAAGTCTTCGTCCGACTCGTCGTCCGAGCCCAAAGCGCCGCCATCACCGCCCACTTGCACACGTCCCATCATGGCTTGCATCATCTGCTGGATCTCGGGGAGGCCCGCGGGCGTCTGCGGCGGCGGTCCTCGGCGGCTCATTGCGTCTTGGAATCCAAAATGATGCAGCCAGTTGAAATATCCGGCGGATCCGGATAATCAAACGCAAGGAGCCAGTCGATCGAGCAAAAGTCCATCCTACCGCCCCTGTCGGGACGCGAGGCCGCGCGATGGTGGCGATGTACTCTCTATTACTTTGCACTAGGGCGATTCAAGACCTCTGGCGCGACGCAGAAGTGGGCTGAACGGCACCATTGCACCTTGGCTAGACAATACTAGTATCATTGGCAGCGTTTGAGGTCTTGGGGCTTGTGAAAATAGGGTATCTCTGCACCGAACGGCAGTTGGTGCTAACTCGCAGCAAATGCAGCACCAAAGAGCAGCGCAGGTTGAGCGCTACGAAAGCGCTGACGTGGCAGAGAGCGGTGGCGATCTATAGAAAGGGCACCACCCCACATTATCCGGATAACCAGACCCTGGACCGCAACTTCAACGTCAATTTCGGCCACACGGTTGCTGGCAAGGGCAAACTCGAATCCTATCCATGTCTACCTACCTTTGCCAACGCGCATATTCGCACGTCTAGTTCTCGAGTCATTAAGCAGTATCCTGGCACTTGTTGTACTGAGTATGGCGCGACCGTCGCTCGCACGACCACTGGCAATAGACCTAGCGCGTACCAGCCGTCAATGCCAGCGACCACAAGTCTCCAGGTGCATGCATCTCCCGCGAGGGAGCCAGTGATGTTGGTGATGCACCCGCGTCTGCTACGCCACACGCCACGTCCATTCCACTAAATGTATTTTGCTGAGCGGTCCAAGCAGCGTCTTGAAGTATGTATTCTCGCAGGACCTCTCAAATGCTATCTGATTGGCACCCACCTTTATAAAAAGGCAGCTCATGCAGCGACGGAGCGCTTTCGGGCGACACCTCGCGTCGTTCGTCCGCGGTTTCTGCGCGCTGCCATCGGCGTCCAAGGAGGAAGAGCGGTATTTCTCACTCCTCGTCATCAACCGGGCGGGCGTCTTGGGCCAAGTGGCGACCGCGTTTGCTCGGCACGACGCCAACATTACGTCGCTCACAGCGCGGCCGACGCACGTGCCCGAGCTCTCGCGCATGAACATCTCGGCGATTCTGTCGGCGCACAAGGCCAACCGCATTCTGCGCAACCTCCAGCGCATCGTCTCGGTGCCCTTCTTCCACGTCACGACCGCCCAGCAGCTGCTGCTCGACGACGCCTGCCTCGTGCAGAGCCAAGCGCTCTTCCGCCTGTCGATCCCCGAGGCCGCGCTGTCGCCGGTGCACAAGCTCATCGAAGCCTACAACGGCTCGATCGTGATGAAGAACGAACCGTCGCTGCTGACGCCGTTGACGACCGCGCCGAGTGCGAAAGACGCGCACAACACGCTCGTCCACGTCGTCAACGCGCCGCACCTCCTCAACTCATTTCTGCACGAACTTGAGGTGCTGGGCACGACCGTTCTCGAGTGCCAAACCAGCGGCCCGTGCTTTCTCGACATTTACACACAGTCGACGCTCGTCGCCAAGCCGGTGGTCGAGCACCCGCTTGAGCCGAATGGCACATCGTCGTCTTCGTCGGGGCCGCATACGTACTCGAAGGAGCGACAGCGTCTTCACGCGCGGATCGCAGCCCAGCTGTACTTTCACCCGCACTTGCCGTCCAAGCTCGCGAGTCCCAAGTTCATTTTGCTCTTGGGCATTCCAGGCTCTGGCAAAACGTCAATTCTCTCGGAACTCGACCAAACGGGCCGCATCGTGCTCAACGACTTTGTCAATTTTGACGTGGACGATATTACGGCGCTTTTACCGGAATTTTACCAAGCGATGCTCAACATTGGCCTCGGCAACTTTGCCGAAGCGCCGCCGCCGGGCCTCTCGATGGACCCGCACGTCCGGTACAGCCACTGCCAAGAGGAAGCCAAGTTCATTTTGAACTCCAACCTCGCGCACGCCATGCACGAGCGCATGAACATCATCTTGCACGGGTCTGGAAGGTCCCTCGATACATACCGGAGCTTGCTCGACAGTCTTGACCCGAGCTACGAGATCCACGTCATGTGCGTCGACGTGCCAATCGAGATGGCGCTCGACCGCGTTGAGGCGCGAAGCCGCGGCTACGGGCGGAACGTTCCCCGCGAGATCGTCGAAGGCGCCGCGACGCAAATTTTACCGCATTTTCGAACGCTCGCCGAAGCCGCGCCCAACGCCCACATCTTTGACTCGTCGACCTGGCCCCCGGCGCTCATTTGGAGCAAGCAGGGCCACGAAATCGTCTACCACTCCAAGACTCACCCGGTCCAAGAGAAATATGGCTTGTAAACACGGTCGTCTACCGTAAAAATCGTCGTCGCGTATCGTATAACTGTTTTTCAACTACAACAAGGTCCAACTAGGTGACAGTGGCAGCTGCTGGCAAGTCGAAAAACGATTAGTGGAGCTGATGAAGAGACTATATAGATACTTGACGACGAAGGATGCGGTAACTGGGTTGGTCTATCCTGCCACATCTCGCACAAGACCTCGAAGGTCGACGTGGGTTAGGGTTTGTGAGTTTGTAAGGTCCTTTGCCTCCAAGTATGAGCACACTTGTAGAGTATATTCAAGACATTCTTACGTCGTAAGCAACGTAATTTAGCTCGTTTGCCAAGCTTGAATTCTACGCGAACACGTGTCTACTTCAAAGAGCATTTCTCGACTTCAGACGCCATGACTTGTAGCACAACACATAGAACCAATATAACCAAATCTGCTATTCACTTGAGCCGCTGCTTCGATCGCAGTGGACGCTACTGTTACCATGATGCCTTCGATCGCCATCACTGCAGATATACACTACGACAATATACATGTGTCACACGCTGACAACACCTACTAGTCCCGCTTAGTACGTGTCACCGCGGCACTTGAAGAACTGCTCGTTGATGTTGCCAAACGCTTCCAGCGCAATCGACGCTTTTCCCGTCAAAAGCGCTTGGAGCGACGCCAATTGGTCCGTGAGCGCCGAGATGCCCCACTCGAGCTTGAAGGACGCCGAGAGGTCGACGGCGCCGCCGGCGACGCAGTTGTGGTAGTAGAGCACGAGCACCTTCTCGATCTCGATATCGCACTGGAGCGACGAGAGGCCCTGGAGCGTGCACTGCGCCGCGAGGGCCGCGCGCCACTTGAAGTAGACGTCCGTGGCCTTGTTGGGCGCGGCGATCTCGGTGATGTTGGACTCGGACTGCACGACCGCGCACGGCGTCTCGGCGAGCACCTGGAGCGGTCCCGTAAACTCGTACTCGTAGCTGTTGTCGCCGAGGTCGGTCGTGTCGGCGAGCTGGTACATCTTGTTGGGAATGTCCTTGAAGAACGGCGACGTGATCTGGGCCGGCGACCGCACGTCGACGACCGAGAGACCGTTGGTGATGGCGTTCATCTTGACGTTGGAGGTCGAGGTGATCGGAAAGATGCCGCCGATCTTGCAGCCTTCAAAGACGAGCGGGTTGCTCTGCTTGGCGGCGTCGTCGAGCTCGAGCGGACGCACGCGGCAGTTGTAGTACATGGTGTGGAGCGCGTCGATGGTGGCGTGCAGCGCAAAGAAGAGCGGGTCCGAGGGACCGACCCACGGGTTGGCGAGCGCGCCGAGCAAGTGAAAGTGCATAAATAGGCTCGGACCCCACTCGAGGCGGCGGTTGAGGTCGCCAAAGCTCGCGCTCTTGAAGAGAATCCGGCGCAGGTTGGTCGGCGTCACGGAGCACGGGAAGCGCGTCAGGTGGTACGGACCCCGGGGCACGCAGCGCGAGCACAAGATCGAGCTCGGGTTTTGCCACTGGCAATAGTGGTTGAGCGGCGCGGCCTTGTCGCACCGACCGGGCACCGGGAACCCGTTGATGAGCGAGACTTGCGGCCAGATGGACGGCGTCGCGCTCCCGAGCTCGTTGACGATCGACGAGCAGCTCGCAATGTCCTTGCACTCGCCTGCGAGCGACTTGACGTTGTCGTTGACAAAGTCGTAGTACGGCAGCGTGAGGCACGCAAACTCGGGCTTGAGCGACCGCAGCATGTTTTCAAAGCCGAGGAGGTACTGCCGGTGCCAGAAGAGGAACCCGCACGTGTTGTGCGACGACGCGTGCGAGAGGATCTCGCGGTGCATCGACACGAAGCGCTCGTAGAGACCCTTGTCCATGGCGAGAGCGACTGCGCTCTTGAAGGTCGCCTTCTCGTCCGCATCGAGGGCGTCCCACGACTTGCGCACGCGGGTGCCGCAGCAGCCGTACGCCTTGCCGCACTTGGCGCCAGCAACGGATGAGGTGGTATTGGACGACGCCTCGAGCGCCGAGACGCCGAGGATGCAGAAGATGGCCGCGAGAAGAAGCTTGTAATAGGCCATTTGTATAGTGATTTGATGGGATGTACTCGAGGTCGAGTGAGTTGATAAGTGAGCGCAGGGCGGTCGATGGAGTCGATCTCACTGGCAATGCCGACGACGGGGCGTCATTCACAGAGCTAACATGCGATCCAGACTGAGATCTGGTGTCGGAGGTTGATGCAGTCCGTGGGAAGGTGCGCATCTTGGCGAGGTGGTGTGTGAAATGGCGGCACAATTTTGGACCGACACCTGATCGGTTGCATCGGCTGGTTGCAGATACCACGGGGTGGTCGGGGGCAGAGTTGTACCGTGGTTGTTGAGCCAACATGACAGCCTCGAGGCAGACAGAGTGGGAGCATGCGAGCGTGGTTGGTTTGTGCTGGGCCTGTGTGATTGCAGCGTGTGTTATCTGATGTTTGTTTTACGAGAGGTTCGCTCCATTACACGCTGTGATAAAGCGAATGATGAACTTGATGGCTCCGTTAATCGATAGAGCTCGTAACTCTTAATCTTGCAAGCTGCAGCGTGCCACCAAGGACGCTGGACCGAATGTATTATAGCCAGGATGCTAGCTACCTGGTATGCT